TTCGGAGCTGAATGCTCTGTCAGTTTTGGCCGTGTAGAGTTGCTGTATTTGTGGATGAACCGTTCGGGATATCCACGCTTAAGTAGAGCTGCTTTGAGACGTGCAAATTTTTTGGTGCCAATAAATCCTGCCGTTCTTGCCTACTTCAGCTTCGTACCGGGGACAAAATGCTTCAAATTTTAGCTAATGCCTGTGTTGTTAGTACGGTAAATCATTGCACAGCTCTTCTTTATTTCTGACGTCACCCACTCTGGTCAGGAAGTGAGCGGTTTCCTCTTAAGTGGGTAACAGCTCTGCATTATTAAGTGCATCTACCAAGTGCTGCATTACATCCTTGAAGAAGAACCAGTCGTCAGGTGCCTGTGCAGCATTCCAGTTCACCGGTTGTAGCAGATTTGTTATTCGGGAATAATCCCCTTTATACACATTTCTTTTCTCAGCAGCTCGAACCTCGGATACAGAAAAATGACTATACTCCCAAACAAGAACGCTGTGGTCGCTTCGGCCAAGGGGCGTGTGCGATTCCAATCCGATAATGCAACTATTGTCCCTAGTGATGATGAGGTCCAAACAACTAGACTGCTACCCATCTCAGAATGGAGTGTCCACTTTAACATGTTGGATAAGGGACGCATTAGTGATCAGTCGAATAAATTGATGTTTGAAAGAGTTTTCTGATCGTGTGCAATGCATCAAATCCCACTTGATGTCGGACAGTTGTAATCGCCAAGTAGCATCATGTGTTTGCTTTGACAATTTCCTTTATCTCGGGGATAAGTGCGTCGTCCGCATTCGCCCGCTGGCCTGACGGTCTGTAAACCAGGGCCATATGGAGGCTTAGATGGTTTGACACTTTCAAATAACAACAGAGTATTTTACAATCAATATTCCAAAATTGGGAAGGTTCAGCTCTGACGCTATCGATGCCATCTCGTATAAATATCGCAATTCTCCATCCCTTCGTTCGTTGCGGTCCATTCCGAGAGGCTGAAAACCATCTAACATAAATTCCGCGTCTTTTATCTGCGCACTTAACCATGTTTCCGTTAAAGCTATTAAGTCGGTTGGAAATTGGCAATGGTGAGTTTTATTTCTTCCAATTTGTTGAATAAACTCTGCACATTTGTGTACATCGTTTTTATATAATTCGGTTGTTTAGATCTTTGGATATTGTTTGCTATAGCTTTTGACTGACAGTTACTACTGCATATCTCACATGGCGTACCAAGTTCATTAGCCCATTTTGAATTTACTGAAGTTTGTCAGAACCGAGCGCCGGTGCCAGTACCCTCAATTTCATCAGAAGGAACGCTCCATTTTCACAACTTGGTTGTTTACTATTTTCAGATTCACTTCGCCCTCGCTCTGACATTTTATCAGTTCCGCTACCAGTGTCGTCATTTTTATCCGATTGATTGGGTGATAGTCCAGCTGAAAAAGCACTCCACGATTGTTGGTTCGAAGCCTAGGCTTTCTCGACAAGGTAAGATCTACTTGCTGTTCATTTCCCAAAACGACTTTTAGTGGTTTCGGCCGCACTTGCTCTGCGTAGTTTCTAACTAAAGACCCCAAACGGAAGATCTTTTGGATTTCGTCTACCTCACCGGGTTTTTGAGTGTCATTCAGTAGGTTTTGAAATGTCGGCATATCGTGTTTCATCCTATCTTTCTGGGTGTCACCAGGTGCTTCAGAGACTCCTTGCACTAACGCACAACGTGATCTCTCGGGGAAAAACTGGTGGTTGCATCCTGCCCTCTTTTGCTGGCGGTAGATTTAGTCTCAGACTCGGGACTGCCTTTATGGCTGTATCAACATCAGTTGATAGGTTGCTCGCGTCCGTGATGTATGCTATAACGTCTTTATTTGGCCGCCTCACCTGACTTCTTGCATTATAGTTTCCTACAAATGTGAAGGGTAAGCTGCCAGCACTCTTTTGTGGCTTGGTTAAGTCCATACGATTACTTCCTACAGTTTCTTTGGCGTTGTCGATCGCCGTTTTATTTTGGTGCAGACGGACTCTGTATGATACAGATTTGTCGGATTTATGAAAATGCGAGAACCAGTTCCATCTCAGTCTGTCTTATTTTTATTTCCCTTCATTTCGTTTGAGTCCGAAGATTTGTCTAGTAACTTCGTTCGTTGCCTCTTGTTTCACCGAACTTGAAGTCTATAACCTTTTTCGTTTTCTTGAGGTTTCTGTGGTTCGGCTCATTGGTGTTTTTCATGTCTTTTGTATCGTGTTCAGGGGGTTTAATTTTGTCATACTTGCGAAGTAACGCTATTATTTTAGTGAGGGGGTCGACGTCTACTTCTAGTTTCGAAACTCTGGTGGTGAGTTGTCGATGTCCATCACAGCGTGTGACTGACGTCAGCGGTGAAGTGCGTTCTTCAGAGTTAATGGTCGGTGGCCCATCACGTCCGGCTGAGAGCGAGTTAGGTATTTCCGGCAAATATTTATCATAAAATATAAAACGCGGTTTATAAATAAGTGATAGATCGCCTTTTCCTGAATATATATCATTCATGCGGACGTCCAGCCGTCCGGGCGCGGCCGAGTGGTTAAGGGCGTCGATTCTTGCATGGATGGTCCCTGGTCCGAACCTCCGATAAGGGGGGACTTATGTCGCATAGTTTGGTCATAGACATTTGCATTCCCCATGCATCAAGTTATAACAAGCGACCTAAATTGCTTAGTGACTACTTTACTGAGCACAAAGTAAAGCTTTTTTCCAAAAGGAATTGAGTATCAAATGTCAATTGGAAGCAAAGAACGACTTAGCCTTCGCCGACAGGTTGTCAGTAGTCTTCGCTTTCTGCGGGTTCTAGAGCACTTCGTCGATGAAAGATTAACTTCGGGAGCACGATGTAGCCGGTATCCGTAGGAATCTGAACTAAACCGAACCAGCTACTTCGTTAAGCTCCGAGTAATGGTTTCCTGAGAGCCTCAGTGAAGGATGAAGATTTCGCCGATAATGGTATCCGTGAAGGCGGAGGCTAATTGCACTTATATCGACGAGGCGTAACACTGGACAGAGACGGGTAACCGAAATGTCAAAACATGGGAAGACGAGTAAATTCCAGTCGAATTCAAGCAGCGCAGACAGATTTTTTCAGTTTAGGGAATTTCTGAGAGCGTTTTGAATTCATGAAGAATTGACAAATGCCAAAAAGGCAGAATTGTTCAGAAATTCCGGATTCTACAATTTGTGTACAGAAAACCAAGGCAAACTCTGAGAATGTTATGACGCCTGTGTCAAATATGTCACCCTCAGAAGTTTCCAAAACCAGAAATGGATTTCTCTTCATTTACCCCTCATTTTGATCGTAACAGCAATCCTAAGCCGACCTACAGACTCCAAATCTATCCGCTGTCATGATCTAATTATCCTAAATCGAGCATCGCTATCCTAGCAGCATCTTTGCTTATTAGTTTTCTGAGCATAATAAGTTATAATTTGGACTCCCCTTTTATGACAACCGGTTTTTGGACAAAAGAAGAACAACGCCGTGGGGTGCGCACCAACATCTTTTAGGAACTCATGGTAAATGTATTTATGATGGACACACATTACGAGCAAATTCTGTGGGAGGTCCAGAAAGCATGGGCTAAAAAGGCGGAACGTGTCAAGAGAATGAGGCCACGAGGAAAAGAACTTACTTTGCAAGCAACCATCTCCCGAATTCGAAGATCCTGTGCACGTACCCGTGCTTAAATTCAGACACATTTGTATTTAAATGCGTCTCATTAACGAGGATCAACCTACAGTCTAGCAAAGGAAAGTATGCAAAGCAAATTTTGGCTAAGCAGCCTATTCATGATATGGACGGAAACGTGGAGCCTTAAAGGGGGTCACCTAGACAACGCACTATGCTGATTATAGGTCAACTTTCGAAAATATATTTTTCGCTAAAGGAAATATCTGGTAATGCGGCGTGCTCAGTTTATTCAGTTTATTTAGTAAGAATGATAGAGAAGGCCTTCGAAAACCCTGTTAATTACACGCTGGTACGTTATATACATATGCGCACGGATAACGAAAATTGTCGCCATTGAAACAGTACTTGCAGGATTTAAGCAGCATTGTTTAAAAAAACAAACTTTCCTTGATCCAGGGGGTATTCAGTTCAGATTCAGACTGTTGAGGGAAAACAGGAGACACAAATAATCATCCTAGCGTTTCTTGACGAGTTGCAGGGACCCCGTCCAAACGACGGATTGAGGGGGGATCATTCCATTCCTCCACTACGCTTTGTATAAATAGTCCAGAGTGAATGTTCATCCCGGACATTTTGGTGCGTAGTTTCATCGAGTGGCCACAAAGATTGGGCGAGGGTTGCCACTGAAGCATGTCCTAAAATCTCAGCCCATGCTCAAGGCCATGTATTATCTTGTAAACCAGGATAAGATCACCTCTTTGCTGCCCGCAACCTGGAGGGAACACATTAAGGCAGTTCATTCTTTCCATGTAAGATTGCGTTTTAAACCCTTTACCAGCTTTGTCGCGCTTTATTGTACATTTTCGAGGCATTTTTGTCCTTTGCTTGCAATGGCCACCACGCTTGTATGCCATATCCTTGATGAGACCGAACAAAGGTGCTGTAAGCTTTCCCAAAAGGTCCTTGTCAAAGATCCCACACACCCTTTTTAGCGCATGGAGTTTTTTGCAGCATTGGTGCACTGCAGTGTTGGTTTCATGTTGCTCTGTATCCAAACACCGAGATTCTTCTGGAAAGATTCTTCGAGAAGAGTAATGCCATTCGGGAGATATGCCCTTGTCTAATCATTTAAATGACAGCTGGTTGGGCGCAGGTCAAGGACGGCACACTACTACACATTGAAATATAGAAGCCACTTCTCGGATCACGCTTGTGGTCGGTGAAGGTTGTTTTGAAGGACTCCCTGCTCATTCAGACCCTTAATGACTTGCCAGGGCGTAACGTCGTCGGCGAACATCGTTTTGCCGCAGTCGAGTTCTTGAAGGCTGTTATTAACATAGAGGATGAAGAGTAAGAGTCCGAGAAGCGAACCTTGGGGCGCACCACCAGTCACGTTCACCCAGCCTGAGCTCAAAGGTACTCCAACGTACGGACTGACTACATGGCTGTTCCGGCGTCTCATGTTCCTGATCGCTGAGTCAGACACCATGGTCTCTTCGTCAGCACAATTCCTGGAGGAACTCAAAGGGTTAAGCCTCCATCCAAATGAGGTCATGGTATCTTTTGATGTTACATCCTTTTTTACTTCTATTCCCCAGGACCTGGCGATCGAGACAATCGAGCTGGATCTACAAAGCAAATACGATGAAATGGAGAATCGCCTTGGACGCGCCCAAGTCCTTCAGCACCTGAAGTTCTGTCTCAGGACGTACTTCACGTTCGGCGGTACAATCCACGAACAAGTGAAGGGCACACCAATGGGTTCGCCGATTTCGGGGTTCATCGCCGAGGCGGTCCTGCAACGGTTAGAGTCGTTGGTCTTCAAACACCAACCGAGGTTCTGGGCCCCATATTTGGATGATACCCTCGTCGTTATCGACCGGGATCAACTGCTGAAATTCAAGGAACGTCTGAATGCGGTCTTCCCGGACTTACAATTTACGATGGAGGAGGAAGAGAACAACCGGCTGGCCTTCCTGGATGTCCTCGTATGCCGCAAGGCTTGTGGTGGACTAAATACCAAAGTGTTCAGGAAAGCGACAAATACGATGCAAGTACTGAACTTCAACAACAGCCACCCAATCAGCCACAAGCGCAGCTGTGTAAGGACGCTCTATCGGCATGTGGAAAAGCACTGCATTGAGCCGGAAGACAAGATTGCCGAATTACAATACCTCCGATGGGTCTTCAAAGCCAATGGCTTCCCGCGCAACTTCGTCAACCGGTGCATACACAAAAGGGACGAAAGGCCTAACCGCACGGACACCAAAGCTTGGCGAACGCTTCCGTATCTCAAGAACGTTTCGGGAGTTGTCGTCTGCCTTCTCGCACCACTTGGGTTTGGAGTTGCACACAGACCGGAGGCAACCATCAGGCGTCAGGTATTGAAACCGAAAGACCCACTGCCACGGCAAGAAACGTCTGGAGTCGTTTATCGGATCTGGTGCAGTTGCGGACAAAGCAACTACGTCGGTGAAACCGGAGGGCAACTCCAAACGCGAATGGCCGAACACGCTGCAGAGGTGCGGAGAAAGGACGCTAGCTCTCAGGTTGCGGCTCTTCGACGGGTTCCGGCCACTCATTCAAATTTGATGAGGCCGAAATTCTCGCAAGAGGTGACAACCGCGTGAGCCGGGAGCTGATTGAGTCATGGTTTATTGGTCCCCAGTCTATTAACAAGTGCGATGATCTTCCCATTCGATACTCGGTGCTGATACTTCACCTAGGCGGAGTACTTGGCCACGCGGGGAACGCACAGGTGACCACTCTTCCCAACACCCGGGTCAGCGCGTCAGATGGTCGAGCAATCATCCCACCAACATCCAGTGCACGTGATGAAATTGCAGCAATTAACGACGCAAATGTCGGCCATCACGCCACGTGCAAAGATCCCTGATGAAGGGGGGAGCCGTGAATATTCATAGGTATGCGGTAGCATGGCTACTGCATCCTATAAATACTGCAGCCGCATATGCATGAACCATCCCTATCTGTTTTTCTCTCTGGTGATGGATTCGAGCAGGAGTCCGAAACGTCAGGCTAATAAAGCTCTTGTCCCAGCGATCGTTTCTTCTTCTTCAAGACCGCCAGGAGTCTTTGAATTTTCCATGTAAGCTGACCAGGGTTCCTCCGAAAGAGCCCGCATCATTCCGTTAAAATCACCCATCCGAATATTGCTGCCTCTCTAAATTTGTGGTTGCGGCTGCGATAGGAGAGAACATACGCAGATAAAAACAATATGGCCACTTAAGCCGAGTGGAGGTTGTGCATTCACTTCCCTTATGACTTCTTTTTCTAGCAAAATCCTATTTCGTAGCTAGAGCTTATGAAGGGTATTCACTTTCTACTTACTTGTTTTCAGTAGGCGTAGTTATGCTAACTTGCTGTTTGTGGATTAGGGTTTGGCATTTGGGGAGGGGGGAGTAGGTGGGGGTTCGGCACGAGGTTTGAGATTAGGATTAAGGTCAGGGGTTGTGTTTTGGGGTTGCAGTTAGAATCACTGCTTCCTTTTGTTACATTAACTTGCCTGGACCCAGTTTCGGGACGGCACATTTAAGAGGTCCTAACGCGTCAGCTTTGATAGAATTACCCACCACCGTCACCTTTGGAAACACGCCGGGTATGGCAGGCCGCGGGATGGTTTATTTTTCAAGATAATTAATGACTGTCTTGCTTCTCCTTACGTTTGCGTTAGCTTTCGCGTTTTAATCTCCTCAAGCAGATTCGACAGACAGCCCTTCGCTTATTCAGCCGCGTGCGATAAGCTTCAGCTTACCGCATCATCTGATTAGATTTGCTGTGCTTAGCGGTGACGTTTATATCCAGTTTGCTTTGAATACTGCCGTCGAGATCTCTTTTAGTTTTGTTTATCAACGCCTTCTTTACTTTTCCCTTGTGTTTGAGCCTTGATTGCTGCTTGATCATGCGGTCAAACGATATGCCCTACAGTCACAGCTTAATGCCGTTGCATTTGAAGTCCGCTGTCCCCTAGTGGTTTAGACGACAGATTCACTACGGGCTTTTGCGCGATCGCCCACGTCGGCAGACAGTGCGGAGAGGGCCCTACCGTTAATTCGCCTCTCCTTTCATACGAATTTCCCCTTTAGGTTGTCCTCGCACATTGCCCTCGGACGCCTGGGCTACGTGTACGATTTCGTTGGCAGTGTTCTGAGTCCTTGCAGTCACTGCGTATTTACCTTGGCTTTCGGTTTTACGCGGTGCCGCCCAGGCGTTTCACCGGCGGTTGTCTGAGTTCCGCCCTTTGCACCTACGCCATCGCGCACTTCGTCTGCGTTGGGTTTACGGCCGTCGCCTACCTTTACTCCAGACTGTCCTACTTTCAGGTCTTATCGGCTCCCCGTCGACCTTTACAGTCAGCATAGCGTGCATTCTTTTTTAGTTGCCCTTTCATCTTCCGCTGTGTTCGCTGGCGCCCTGTTTGGTGTTCCTTGGTCGTCTGCCCGACAGGGAGGTGGTGCGAACTGCTAACGACAGGGGTTCACATTTTCCCTGCACTCGGTCGCGCATTTACCGTTTTCCTGTCTTACCTTCGGCGGCTTACGTCCAGGAAACCACTGAGGCTATCGGATGCCCCGGCGCTTCCATTCTACGATTCTGCTCTCGTTACACGGAGGTCATTCCTGTAGAGCCAAATCGAGACTGTGCCCCGACTGGTTTGGCGTAAATCAAAGAAGAAAAAGACGTTGTTAGGTTTAAAGAATAGTTCATTATTGCAGCAGACAACGTAGACATATTGGTTGGCTTCCGTCTGCCCCGGTTGGCTCATAGTTTTCTATTTGGCTTTACGTGTCCGCTTGACACTGCGGTACGGTTGTTATCGGTGTCTGAACATTCAACTAAATTTTGACTATGCTAGCAGCGCACTTCCTTACCTGAGCGACTGTTGGACGCGGTCGTGCGTCGTCCGATTTTTGTCATCCACCGGAAATGCTTCGGCTACACGTTTAAGGGAAATTTCCCAAGCCTCAGGCAGGTTGTTTGCCTTCACACTGTACCATAACCGGTACTGGGCCTCGTCGACGTGGGCCCAGGGTTTCCTTCCCATGATGGGATCCTGATCGCGCAACTTCTTCTTCAGCTTCTCCAGTAGGCTGCGATTTCATTGTTGTTTTTCTTGATGAGGGGGTCGACAAACTTGGCAGAATGGTTTACCGTCAAGTAGCGCTAACCATTTTCGTTCACACGCGAATAGGCTTTCCATTTGTCGGTTACTATTACGCTTCCACTTCTTTATCACGGCTTTCATTGACGACCAGCTTCGGTCGTTTACTTGCTCAAACAGCGCCTTCCTCTTGGCCGTGTCATACATACCTATAATTCAAGTTTTATTGGACCATGCATACCAATAATCCAGTTTTGTTTTTCAATTTGCCCAACGTTGTATTTGTGTCGAGTGTTCATTGTCTCATCAAACTGGACTTCAGTGTCGGGTCCACCAAGTCCACTTCTTTGAGAAGGGCTTTGGTGCAGATGCCGTACCATTCGACTGCCGTATTACGATAAAGGCCCACAGAGTCTGCACATCTAATCACTCCCGTGCCCTCAAGAAACGCGAGTCACGTCTTCATCGCCTTCGTCAGCGACAAGTGGCTTCCATCAAACACTGCGCCCGTTCTCAGCGCCCTCTTGGCTCCGCATCGAGCGTAACTGCACTATGGTTACTACATTAACCAGAGCTTACCTAAAGGCATAACCATCGGTGTGCTGGCGCCATTTTTGTAATACCGTGGGCTTCCTTCACGTACATATCAGACGAGAGGTTAACAGGCCTTTTTCTTACAAACAATTATCAGGATTTGGTGACTGGATGACCTCCTGGATCCGCACGAATTTAGTCGGCCTATCCACTTGTGGAGCTGCTTTACGCGGTTGCCTGTTAGACTGCGGTCTATAAGTGGATAAAGTGGAAAATAATTTACTGAAAAACGACTAAACATTAAATTTTGTGCTACAGAAGCATTCCCCTTAGGACTGGCAGTTTAATTTGCCTGAATTTTGTCCGCATTTTCAGCCTTCTTTACCTTTCTCGTTACAGAACTTACTGTATTTGTGCTGCTTCGTTTTCTGAACTGCTTCCATCATGTTCCACTCAAATCCATCGTGCTGGTCACCGTGTTTGTCTAAACTCTGCAGAATGATCTTGCCAATTGTTTTCATATTACAATTGGATGCTTACGATTCTTTACTGATCCGTCCTCTCCCACGCTGATATCGGAGAATCCCGCAACCTGTTTTACGTATGCGCGGTTGTTTTATCCTTTTCGCCGGTTATTTTAGCATAGGCAACTTCTTCTGACATTTGGCTACACTTCCATACCTTCCTTATGCCTTCGCACATCCAGTTGCCCCACCCATAAAATCCCCTATTGCCACCCGTCCCGTAAGACAGGCAGCTGGGGTTTGGCCACCGCAGGGACGGCTACGAAATAGGATCCGACCTTTTCTTTACTGAAAACGGGATCTAAACAATTGGACCACTGTCCTTCTCTCATTCTTGATCATAATTTTAGTGTTGAATAAGGTATTGGTCTAGTGAAAATTGTAGTAGCTTGTGGTCGAGTGACGTAGATGATGCTTTTGCTATGGGAATTTTTCAGTCTATTCCTGGGGCGTTAAAGTCACCCAGAAGTACTAACTTCTCTTGCTCACATAAAAACTCCAGTACACTAAGTAGTTCCATGTCGGCGCCCTCATTCGAGCTGGGAGGCCGATAGACAACACACAGGTTAAGTGTCGGTAATTGTTTGATACATAGCTTGCATGCAACTTTTTCAAAATTTGGCGGGGCCACATTAGATATTTCTTGCTAACAGCACGAAATTTCACTTGACGCATAAATCGCTGAACCTACTCCTCTACGTTGGAATCTGTCACAATGGAACATTTGGTGGCCTCTAATACTGACTTCGTTGCTCCTTATTTCCTCAGTCAACCATGTTTCTGTTTAGACAATTACGTGACGCTTCCGTTCAGGGGCTAGTAATCCAAGTTTATCTAACTTGTTCAGGGACTCCCACAGCTAGTGTAATAGATTTACAGACAACGACACCTGGTGCCCACAGCCTCAAAAGTTGGCATCGTTACACTGGTTAGGCTGTCTGAATGACGGCCTTAGGCTAGAGAAATGTTCTTCTGACCCGAACTATTTGTCCCTTCTTCATTTTTAGGTGTGTTTCATCGCTGCTCCTCCGCAGTTCCAGTCCCGCTATGAGCTGTCTCATGTTTGTTCGCTCTTTTGGCTCGTAATCCGGCTGAAAAAGCTTCGGGATGCTGACCTCGCAGAGACAATTTTCTCTGTAACAGAAGCTGTGCCTCTGTTTTAGTCTCCAAAATGACTCTTAAAGGTCGTGGCCGAAAATTTGAACCGCAGTGGCTGATACTTCCCTATTCTATATGCTTTGAGAATGTTAATTGACTCGGCGTCTCTAAACAAAGCTTTCGCATGCACCCGAAAAAGGCCTAAGTCGTGTTTTACTCTCGACCTTGGGACCTTTACCGTTGATTCTGGGACTTCTTCTATAACTACATTTTGTTTTTGACTGAATTAAGCGCCCCTTGTTGTCACACATCTTTCGACTGACTGACATTCTTTTCCAGTTTACTTGTTTCG